GCAGTAATTCCTGGAGTGAGAGAGGTTTAGAGCTGTTTTGGGGTTGGTTGGCTATTTCGCTTATCCAACTTCAAACGGCGATAACCGGAGCAAATGAGCTCCGAATTGAGCGTGTGATAGCTTGTTGAAAAGGGAATTAAGTAAGACGAAGATAAAACCTGAGAAGGAGGTACGGTCGTGAGCGGTGTGTTCGCAGAAAATTTAGGAGTGAACCATGCTCGAATAGGTAAAAACGTAAAGTTTGGTAATTGGCTAAGTGGGTTTATGGGAACCCCTTAGTAACTTATAATAAGTATATTGTGATGTAAAAATAGATAAAATAAATATTCCGCAAGAGTTAACAGTTATAGTCACAGCTTTTAATTATTATGCATTTTATTGTTTTAAATGATTGCGTAATAATCGGAAAAAGTTTATTCGTATTTTTATAAATGAATTGCTGTGATTGTAACTGCGCTTTATATCATAATTAATGTTAACAATACCGGTACGTAACGGGCTGTTACAGGAAGTATGTGTGAGAGTATGTTATCATGGTGTTAAGTGCTAGACTTAGACAAATTTTAGGATGGTAAGGCGAAGTTTGGGGACAAACTTCAAAACTTGGTGGGGAGAGTGTAACATCTCGCATAATTAGAAGCCTATATAAATGATAATCTAGAATGTGAAACATGCTTGAATTAAATTTATGTTAGAGTGGAATTAATTTAATTAGGAAAATTACTCTAATGGAAATTATTAGGAATAACCTTGTGTATTTTCGAAACTTAAATTCTAGTACATAAGATGGGTGATCCTTAGGAGTTTATTTAAAATGCCATGATAGATGTGTATGTATACCATGAATTGAAATTCTAAGCGTGTATAGGATAGGATTACTCTTAAGCATCTCTTATAAAAAATTCTAGTCACAACTTATACTTCATGAATTAATACGGCTTAGGCAAATTATTGGGTTTAAATTCTTTAAGGGCCACGACCCAAGTCCTTGGTGGGGAGGGGGTTTTATGATCAGCCCTAAGTCTCTTTTAAAATCATCCTTTAGTTATCTTAGAAATCTGAATGTGTGGTCTCTAATGGTCCAACCTACATGCATGTAATCTCATTGGTTAGTGAAGCACACCACACTCCCTCACCACTTCCCTCCTGTTGTACGCATAGGGTGAGAACAAAATCCTGATTGAGCTCCTCCTTAGACCAAAGCAAGTCAGCTTTGTAAGCTATGCCCAATGAAAAGAAACGCTATCAGCCTGCATGAAACCCCATTGGACGAAAATCCCACCTCTTCCCTCTTTTGTTGTGCGGATGTGTAGGGAAAAAAAACCAATTAAAAATCTGACTTGTTCTAGTATGTCAAACAGCCCCTAACTCCATCATTTCTCCTCCATCAGCGTCGTGTGAAGGACAATACAAGATGATCACATTCTATGAAAATGAAAATAAAATAAAATAATAAGGCATGTCCTTCCTCTGATTCACGGTTCGGCTGTGTGCTCAAACAAGAGGCTGTATCATTGTATTATTTCCTTATTCCTCCCTATCATCTTCGCCCTGTTGGAGATTCTACTACATGCAGAGTTTTATCTTGAATCTCACCCTCCTTCCTTCTCTAGCCGTGGACCATCAAGAGGAAGAAATGAAAGTCCCCATGCTCTTCCTTCTTTTCCCCTCCAAAGACCGTGAGTTGAACCAAAGAAAGGACCACCATACAGCTCCCAATTTCCTTCTTCACCTGTCGGTCAAAGACATGTGAGAGGTGAAGCATCTTCGGTTGTTCTTTGTTCCTTTCCACTGATGAAAACTTCACCTTGCATGCGGAGTCAGTCATGAATTCACAATCATCTTCTGTTCCACCGGTCCAGCCGAATAACAACCTTGGGAGGTGAGGAAAACTTCGTTCACTATCCTTTCTCCCTTGCTTAGATCAAATCGGTCTGAATCCTCACTGCATGCGTTTGTCTCAGCTGTGTGCGAGCTGGTTCCCCTTGCATGCCGCTGGAATCGTTCTCTTGAGGCATCAAAAAGGTGTAAGGTTGTGCTTTGTTCATAGGGGGCTAACGGTGTGCATACGAGTAGGTAAACAACCTCGAACTCTCCTTCCTTTCCCTCACTGTTTTGGTCATGGCATGCATATTGAAAAGATAAAATTCTGTTCTGTTATACCTTCACCTTTCTGTTCGATTTTATGTGTAGTTTAAGAGGTTATATGTTTCCGTTCGATTCACTTTTATGTTGTGTTGGAACCTTGGTGCGGACTAGCTTAAGAGATTGGCCTTGGAGTGTGGAAATGACTCCCCTTTTAACAGTGTTAGATTGTTTAGTGAATTAGAGCCCGTTTGGATGAGCTTTTTTTTTTCTTCAAAAGCTGCTTTTTTTAAGAAAAAAAAGCACTTCTTGAAAAAAATCTGTTTGGATATCTGCTTCTAAAAAAAGCAAAAGTCATAAAAAAAGTCAAAAATCTACTTTTTTCGGAAGCTAAAAATTTTAGCTTTTAAAAAAAGCAGAAGTCAAAAGCCAAATATTTTTTTCAAAAATCGAATATTTTTTAAAAATCTAAATAGCTGTAACTTTTATAGAAAGTACTTTTAAAATAAGGAAGTGATAAAAAAGGACTTTCTTGAAAAGGCAATACAAACGAGCCCTTAGTGTGAAGCATCAAGCCTTGCATGCGTTGTAATTAAAATTCCAGCAAGCTCATTAGCTCACTTTAGCGCACCCTTGAGCCTTGTAGTAAGGATTGTGTAATGAAGCAAATTAAGAACACATAGTTCTGCCTAAACCGAACCTGCTTGTACAAGGGGGCTGGGATTCTGTTCGCTGTAACTTATTGATAATTTAATTTGAGTCAGAAAATTTAGCTAGATTAGGAGCAAGGAAAACCGGTTACCTAATAAAATTGAGAGAATGGAAAACTTGTTGATAAATGGTAGTAATAACGGGAAACAGATTCTGAACTTGTCTCACTTGTAATTAGAAGCACAAAAATCATAGGGAAGTGGAATTTATAAATAAAATGTCATGAACCTTTTTAATGTTAACCGAATTGGTATGTTTGGTAAATGTTGGATTTTCGCTGTTATGAGAAAATGAAAGAAACCATTTGAAGTCAGAATTAGTTAAGAAAAGGACCATGCTAACCGTATGTGAATTAAGAGCCTAGGGAAATAAAAGTGCTTCGTAACGTCTAGAAAAAATTATAGCATGTAATTCTGACTCGTTGTATCTTATTTAGGTGCGTATAAACATTAAGAACGCGGACTGTCTCGGTACTGTTTGATTTAATTGTGGACGCACAGGTATGTGTTAGGCGGTATTACCTGATGTGACTATTGACTAGTGTATGAATTGTGAATTGTTGCTCACATATGCCTTATGATTATTTTGCCATAAAAGATGAAATTATTCTGCCTATGAAAATGTTATGATTATGGAATTTCCTGTTATGAAAAGAAAGAGTGGCTTGGCAGTATGGCATCCAATAAGAAGTATAAGTTATGAAATGATGATATATGCATGCACCGTACATCATACCGCACTTGCCTGTCTGTTTGTGTGTGACAGCTTAGCATGGCATGCATGTACCAAATTCATGTTAGTCCTGAGTCTTAGAATAGTTATACCTATAGGACCATGTGATTGAGCACGCATCATATAGGCATCCCTTGATATCAGGGTACTGGGACAGTTGGCGTCAGTCCACATAGGCCATGGTGGAATTCCCCAAATGATGGTGTCGTGCATGGAATTTCCACTGTGATGGCACGTGCACGACGGTGCTATGAGCGTGATGAATGCGTTATATACGCAATATGATATATGATGAAAATGATATATGATGAAAAGGTTATATGATGAAAAGGATTTCATGTTTGAAGCGACTGTTTATAATTTTGTGCTTAGTTTAATACTGTTGCCACACTACTGAGATTTCTCTCACCCATTTGGGGCTGCTATTTTTATAAAATGGCAAGAGGACGCAAAAGCATATGAGGACTTTGCTGTTGGTTTCTACTGTTGGGCATGTTACTGTGATTGTATTAATTTTATGGATGACTGTATGAAATTGAGAAGCTTATATTGCTGTGAACTATGATTTTATTATTGCATTATGGTTTTATGACCAGCAAGTATTTTGGAAACGGATTTTAGAAACGTTTTACGAAAACTGAATTCTGATGTTTTGAAAGCTAAGTGTAAACTGTTTTGCGAGCACTTTGCAAGTTAGCGTGCTGGGGCTACGGACCTCCGATTTTCCTATAATTTATATGCACACGTAGCCCCAAGTGTCTAGTTTCATTTTATATAAACCTTTCAAAGAAATTCTGAAAGCTCGATTTATTATGAATTTTACCAGCCAGGACGTTTGTGATATTGTCACTGTTTTACCCCTTATTTTGCGAGTTATGTTTCGAGGGGAAAACGAACTTCAAATCACTATTATTTTATATGAACGTAAAGCCTCAGATGTCTAGTTTCTAGATTACAAAGAATATCTTTTGAATCGTTGAAATGGATTTTATACGAATTTTTAAAGACAGTAAGGTCTGCCAGGAAATTTATATTTTTAGTAAGTTAAGAAATTTTTCGTACTCTGATTTTTGTAAGGAACCCGATTTCAATTATAAGTTTTTAATTGGCCTTGTAAAAATCATTTTTCAGTCTTTAATATATGATTAAAGAACTCTAATCCGCTTAGCAAACAACTCTCTTGGAGGCCTACAAGGGAGGGTGTTACAACCTGCCTGAGTCTGAGGCAAACCAACAACGAAATCCATAGAGATGCTCTCCCATTTACACTCTGGTATATCCAACGGCTGAAGTAAACCAGCAGGTTTATGAGGTTTTATCTTGACTTTCTATCAAATTAAGCACCTTGATACATACTCAACAACATCCTTCTTCATCCCAGGCCACCAGAACTTAGTTTTCAGATCTTGGTACATTTTTGTGGCACCTGGGTGTACAACATACTGACCCTTATGGGCCTCAACCATTACCTCCTATGCTAACTCCTTAGGCACAACAATTCTGCGTTGATACAATAATAACCCCTGTTCATTCAAAGATATCCCTCTCTGCCCTTTCAAATACTTGATACTATCGTTCCGTATTTGCGTTTCTTTAATCTTCTCATGTAATTCATTTTCAATCCGTAAGCACTCAAATTCATCCATCCTACCTCCAAAGACATCTGTCAATTTCAAATCATGGAATTGTTCAATCACTTCGTTATCCCACAACACCAGCTGGGACACGCTGACAGACTTCCTACTCAAGGCATCAGCCACCACATTAGCTTTACCCGGATGGTATTTCAACTCAAAATCATAATCCTTTAAGAATTCCACCCACCTCCGTTGTCTCATAGTCAGCTCTTTCTGATCAAACAAATATTTCAGACTTTTGTGATCAATGAACACAACAAATTTCATCCCATACAGAAAATGCCTCCAGATTTTTAAGGCAAATATAATAGCAGCAAGCTCCAAGTCGTGTGTCGGATAATTCTCTTCATGAGGCTTGAATTGTCTAGAAGCATAAGCAACCACTCTCCTCTCTTGCATCAACACACACCCCAAACCCTTCTTGGAAGCATCACAGTATAATTCAAACTCACCTTTCGGATCAAGGAGGGACAACACAGGAGCAGTAGTCAATTTCTCTTTAAGATCCAGAAAACATCTTTCACATTCCTGGGTCCACACAAAAGGAGTATCATTTCGTGTCAATCGGGTCAATGGCAGTACCATTGTGGAAAAACCCTATATAAATCTACGATAATACCCAGCAAGACCCAGAAAGCTCCAGATCTCAGTAACAATCTTCGGTCGTTCTGAGTCAATTACAGCATCAATTTTATTTGGATCCACTGCAACACCCCTAGCAGAAATCACATGACCCAGAAATTGCACCTTAGATAACCAGAATTCACATTTAGACGGCTTCGCATACAACTTTTTATCCTTTAATATCTGCAACACAGTCCTCAGATGCTCAATATGCTCTTCCTCACTCTTAGAATAGATTAAAATGTCATCAATGAACACAATTACAAACTGGTCCAAATACGGTTTAAAAATATGATTCATATAGTCCATGAACACCGCCGAGGCATTAGTAAGCCCAAAAGGAATCACCTGATACTCGTAGTATCCGTATCTAGAACGAAATGCCATTTTAGGCACATCCTCCGGCTTAATCCGGATCTGGTGGTATCCGGACCGGAGATCAATCTTAGAGAATACAAAGGCACCCCTCAATTGATCCAACAAATCATCAATACGCGGAAATGGGTACCTGTTCTTAACCGTAACCTTATTCAACTGCCGGTAATCAGTACACAACCTCATGCTTCCATCCTTCTTTTTCACAAATATTACTGGTGCTCCCCACGGAGACACACTCGGCCTAATAAAATCCTTTGCAGATAGCTCCTCAATATGTTTCTTCAACTCAGCCAACTCCAGCGGCGACATCCGGTATGGAGCCAAAGAGATAGGCCCCACACCAGGAAACAATTCAATCGAGAACTCAATCTCTCTCTCAGGTGGAAAATTCGGTATCTCATCAGGAAATACATCCACAAACTCATTAACCACCAGAATACTAGAAATCTCTATCTCCTTATCACCCACCAATCCACCCAAGAAAACATAACCCAGATCACCAGCCTTTAAGGCTTTAATTGTCTGACACATAGACAGAAAGGGAGACGGACTTACCGAGGGCTTCTCCTGAGATAATATCAACCTCTTTCCACAGCAATCAATTATGGCGCAGTTTTGAGAAAATCAATCCATACCCAATATCAAATTAACAGAGGCCAGAGGCAAGATAATCAAATCAATTGTGTATGCCTTCGTAGATAAACTCGACCTCTTTACAAATAAAGGAGGAATCACTAATCTCTCCTGTAGCCGTAGTAATACGCATAGGGGGAATCATCCGTGATACTCTTAACCCCAACCCTTTTTGCAACATATTCAGCCACGAACGAGTGTGTCGCTCCCGAATCAAATAAAATAAACAAATCAATATTTGAGATAAAAATTGTACCTTTAACCAGATTAGGTGCCTTCTCTGTTTGCTGCACATTTGTAGTATAAACCCGTCCAACGGTAGGAGCAGATGGCAAGGACTGCAGATTCGCAGCCTGCCCCGTATTACTGTAACAATCTTTGGCAAAATGCCCAACCTTACCACTTTTGAAGCAAGAATTCGGAGCTGCAGTACAAGGCCCCTGATGATACCTCTTACACTTCTCACATCGAGGATTAGAATTTCGGTCATTAAACCCACTTCTCTGACCACCACCCCTCTTGAACTTACCTGGAGGCTGCCTTACCTGCAACCCCCTACCTCTATTATTATTCTGATGGTAGCCACCTCTGTTATTATTATTAGACGGACCAGATGTCCTCGCAAAACTAGACTTCGGATACCTGCTATAAACACTTTCAACCCTATTGCACTGGGTCACTAGATCAGCAAAATTTCTCACAGCAGTATTAGACATTCTTTTGGCAATCTTCTCATTTAATCCCCTCTGGAATTTAGAAGATAAAATCTCAGGAGCTGGCAGCATACCCCCGTAGTTTGCAAACTTAACCAGCTCATTAAATTTCGCCACATAGGCATCAACAGTCGTGGTACCCTGTACCAATTTATCAAACTCACCCTGCTTATCTTCCCGAACATCCCTGGGAAAATACTCCTCATGAAACAATCTCTCAAATAATGCCCAAGTTAATTCTTCCCCCTGAATAGTAAAAGGGCGAGATGCATTGTACCACCACTCGTGGGCATCCCCCTCAAGCATATAGACAGAATACATCAATCTCTGGGGATCCTGACACCTCATAACCTGAAATATTTTCTCCATCCCTATCAGCCAAGTAGTCACTACCTTCGGGTCCCTTGACCCTTGAAATGCTAGCGGTTTATGTTTTCTAAAAGAAATGAGCCTTTTCTCATCAGTACCAGCAAATACCTGCCCAGCAACCCCAGAAGACTGAGCAACAACAGAAGGATCCACAGAAGGCTTTGGGATATAAGTAGGATCAGTAGTGTGGCGACTAGCCTCCTCAGAATGACGACTAGCCCCACTCCCCTCCTGCTGAGGAGTAACATATGGCGTACGGGTAGGAGTCACCGTAGCCGTATGTGGAGGAGAATCATCCCTCCTGTGCCGAGTCCTATCTGCCCTCATCTCATTCATGAAGGCATGCATCATATCCTGATTATTTTTCATCAGGTTCTCGGTCATAGTTCTATTCGCAGCAGTCTCTTCCTGCAGAGCATTTAGAACTGCAGTAATAGGATCTGGTGCTGCTAGACGACCTGCACCTCGAGTTCCACGGCGACCTCATGCCCTACTCATGATATCTGTACATGTAACACAAAAGGAATGAGCTGATCAGACCCACAATGAGGAATCACATATACATTAATCATAAACAGTTCACGGATAGCTATGCAACACAAAATACAGTTATACATTATCAGAGTTCCCTTACAAAACTGCTCTGATACCATAAAATGTAACAGCCCATTGTACATTGGTATTGTTAACATTAATTATGATATTAAGCGCGGTTACAATCACAACAGTTCACTTATAAAAATGCGAGTAAACTTTTTTCGTTTATTACGCGAACGTTTAAAACACTAAAAAGCGTAATAAATAAAAGATGTGACTGTAACTGTAAAATCTTTGCGGAATAATTATTTAAACTACTTTTATAACTTATTTTACATCTCTCAAGTCACTAAGGGGTTCCCATAAACCCATTTAGCTAAAATCTCACTTTTGCGTTTCCTACCTATCTGGACAAGGTTCGCTCTTTAATTTTCTGCGGACAAACCGCATTCTACAAGCCTCCCATCTTTTGATATGTTATTCTACACTCATTAACTTTATAGGAAGCTATCACACGAGTTATTTTGAGTTCGTTTGCTCCGGATATCACCGTTTGAAGTTGGACAAGCAAAGCTGGCAGCAAACCCCAAAATAGCTCCAAACATCCATCACTCAATCAATTACTGCAGAAAATACACTTAACCACATACTCTCAAATTTATATACAACAAACTAGACACCTCAATCTTCAATTTGATATATCCTACACCTAATTTGACAAAGAAACGAAGTGGGAATAATTTTCCCAAAACCGGTCCAGAACTGCCCAATGTGCAATAGCCCACTGTACAGCCCGAGTTCACAACCTCCTACAGGCAGACTCCCAACCCATATTTTTACCAAATTTTACCACAAGATAGAGGACATCTCAACCTTCAAAATGGCATATGGAACGTGCCTATCGGACCTCTGTGGAGGGAGATATGTTCTCCCGCATTTCGCCGAAATTCTACATATTTATAGAAAATTCGCCAGAGTTTCCTTTATTTTTCCAATAATCCCCAAATTTTTACAAGTGATCTATGACCTCAAATGGTACCTAATAATCATAGGGTGGCACACACAAAGACCAGCAATGCCTTGGGGCTCTTACAACCCTTCACAGTTTATATCAAAATACTCAATCCATACCATATTGCTTACTTTATTACATTTAACATATTTCAATCACCAATGTTCATTTGCATGCATTTTCTATTCATAATCCTAAAATAGGCGTATTGCCCTTTCATCATATTACATGCTTCCATATTACATCAACTATCCATCTACAATTTATAACTTCCAAATGAAATACTACAATTTACAAACCATAGCCTTCAATTACAACATAATGAATAAATCTTAAAATGACATATGTAACTAGACTTAGGAAAAATGACATGAACAAATATGACAATGAATCTCCTCCTACATACATATGAGATGTTCATTCCCTAAGTCTAGACAAGGCCCAAAGGCCACCAAAATACAAAATGTATGATCCTCCAGCTAATCATCCTACGGGCTTCTTGCCCGCCGCTCCTGCACCACTGCTACCTCCTGAAATAAAGCCCCTGAGACGGGGTGAGATATACGAATATATCTCAGTAACCCAGAAGTTTTGGAGAATACTCCACCCAATGGCTCACTTCGATGCATATAAATACCATAAAATAACATCTTGAAAACGGGATAAAGCAAGAGATTTAGAGAAATAGGGGAGCATAGGGATACAAAGTACGACGAAGCTGGAATGGTCGATGCCAATACCACACAACGTCCAGCCTATTGGCTCGGCATATAAGCCTACGGGTCTCAACCAAGGCATGTTCTCAGAACATCTAACTAAGGCACCCTCCATCCATATCCACCCGAGACTTCCTAGTGTGCTCCTATCCGGATCACACACCACGACCCTAGGTCAACTGGCACTCCCTCTCGGAGACCTATCCAGTGGAAGTCCGTAACGCCCGAAGGCAAACTGTCTATTAGCCAGAGACACGGTACATCCTATGTACCAACACACATACTAAATGCATGAACATGTTATTCTACATTACTTACATACACTTCCTACCATCACCCTCAACGGGCATAGTGGAACACACAAGGAGATCAAGCCCCAGTACCAAGAGGTTACCTGTATAGTCCTCTCCACTTAGCTCCATAGTATTATATTCTCTGAGCTCGTTTCACAACAGAAATGCCTACACAGAGGACATTCCCAATCAATTACCACTTATACAAATGCATGCAAGTTACAATTCTACGAGCATGGTTCCAATTACTCACCTTAATCCCACTTGGTCCGAGATCAAGGGCAATCCACCGAACTCACGGTTCGGGGTTCAAATCTACGTACGACAACCTACAACAACCATGTACGAATCATCAATACACGGCAAATCTATCAAAATACGAAAACGTCAAAAATCCTCCCCCACACAAGGTAGGTTCGGCCACTTTTCATTTTACAGCATTCAAACATCGTTTTGCCTAATATTTTGCTCGAGGTTCCATTACACCACTCAACACTATCAATTATTTTTCCGTTGGTTTTCCAACCTTCTAACCACCACACAACCCTTCTAATTACCTTATAATACACAACACATCATTCAAAGAATTTTTACAACATCAATCCCTTAATTTCTTCACAAGGTCGAATTCTACATAGGTCACATGGGGTTTGTGAATAAGTGATTGTCTGATAATGAGCAAGAAATATACGTCTTTCTGCTAAACAGGATGTATTCAGCTCATAATTCATTAGATACTTTTTATGAATGTCAACTAAGTATCGTAAGTAAATTGCTCCCGGTTGTTCAATCATTTGATAACCAGAGTTATTCTTTGATAAATGATCACTATAAGTCAGACTCAATAGAATTTGATCAATCCTTTTTTCTGTCGTTAAGGTAGAGAACTGAACCAAGTGTACTCCAAGGGACTTTCAATCAACTTTAACTATTCCACACCTCATACAATCTTATTATATCATCATACAACCATACAACAATCCAATTACACAATCCTAACACAATTCCAAAACACAAAGTCATGGCATCTTCAAAATTTTCCTAAGTTAAAATCATATTATCACCAATAATTTTTATTGCATTTATAGCTCTAACACATCATTCTAAGACATTATCATCTAAAACACATTTTCCATTTGATCTCTCTAACAACACAAATCAACCAAAAATAGATTAGGGTTCATGAAAATCAAACTCATCAATCAACCATCAAAAGGTGAAGAAACTTACTCACAATTACGTCACAAGGCTCCTCCTAGCACCCCACAAGCAATGGCTTAAGAAATCAACCCCAAAATCACAAACTCTCCAATAAATTCATGGCTGTATATGCCTCTTTTCTCACAATAGAGAGGGTTTCAAGGGAAACTAATCGGTGGAACGGGTTTGGGTGATGATTTCCATCGAATTTCAAGACAAGAATCACGCGATTCGGTTAAGATTTGATGAAGTTATGAGATGAAGAAAATCAAAATCAACAACGTAGTCCAGGGGGGGGCTGTCGGTTTGAGCAAGGGGAACAGAGAGAGAAAATGGTGACTAGTGTTGAGCTTAGGTGGCTTAAAGGGTATTTAAGAGGTGGGCCCCACCGCCACCTCACGCGATTTCAAAATAACATGAACTTTCACTTCGATTTTGCTAAACGTCCATAAACTTACAACCTATTTAGAAACTCTAATTTTTAATATTAACCATTGTCCTTTAATTACCCTTGATCAGATGAATCCAGAGTTTTTCGGTCGTTCGGAGAAAATGCTGCTTTAAGCTGTTTCGCGCGCCATGGGCACACTTCTCCAAACTTACTAATTTCCATCAATTTTCATCAGAAATCACATTTCCTAGTCCTATATATCATTTATAACTTGTATTCAAAACCTAGAGCTCAAAACTCAATCGGCACGATTTACGTTGCATCTGTACGGCAATATTTTTACTCGGTAAAAACACTATTCACTGAATTTTCTGAAATTTGCCTAACCACTCAATTTTTCGTTCTGAATCCATTTCCAGGGTTATTTTTATCATTCGAGACCTTCAAATCAATTTTTATCTTCCTAGGGTTGCGTGTTGGCTAATTACCATTTTACCCTTCCTTTGTATTTTGACCTAATTTCCAGGATTTTCACTAATCCTTCCCTTTAATCCATGTTTAACATTTTAATATATAATTTAGAAATGCGAGGTGTTATATGTATCCTCCCTTATTTATACTCGGAACATCTCTCCAAGTATAGGAAAAGACTAACAAATGAAAAGACACTAATTTAAAGTTGATAACTTGGAAAAAGGAAAAGACACTAATTTAAAGTTGATAACTTGGAAAAAGGAAAAGACTCTAATCAGCCCACTAAACATTAATGACATTGAAAATTGCTAATAATTCTACTCAACCTC